TTAAGAAGGCCGGCTTTGCTTTTTTTCTTGAGGGTCGCCATTAGTCAACTAAGAGAGTGAGAGTGAGTGAGAGAGAGCGAGAGTGGGAGGGGCAGAGAAGGAGCCTTAAGGGGGGAAAGAAAGAAAGAAAGAAGAAGAAAAAGAGAAGCAGACAGAAGGAAAACAAGAAGAAAGGGGAGAGAGAGACAGAGAAAAAAAGGAAAGACAAAGAAAGACATAGGCAAAATAGAAAAGAAAGCAAGGACATATCGAAGGAAAGCAAGGAAAGGACGAAGGAAAGCAAAAAAGACAGAAGGAAAGAAGGAAAGCAAGAAAACACAAAGAAAGAGAAACAAACAAATCAACAAGGAAAGGACAGGAAGACAAAGCTAAATAATAAATATAGAAATAGAAGAAACAAGGAAGACATGAAACATGAAAGAAATAAAGAAAGAAAGAAAGATTGAAGGAACGAAAAAAAACTTCGAAGTTAAAAAGTACAGAAACAAAGAAAGGAATGAACAAATAAATAAAGAAAGATAGACCGATACATTTAGACAGAGCACACACAGAAAGAGAGAGAGCAACAGAGACAGAGAGGGAGAGGAAAAAAGAGGCGCGCAAGAGCGCGCGCGCGGGTGTGTGTGTGTGTGTGCGTACCCGCGTGCCTGCGTGCCTGCGTGTTTGTGCGCCTGCGTGCCTGCGTTCCTGCGTGCCTTCGTGCCTGCGTGCCTGCGTGCCTGCATGTGTATGTGTGTGTTTGTGTCTGTGTTTGTGTCTGTGTCTTTGTCTGTGTCTGTGTGTCTGTGTGTCTGTGTGTCTGTGTGTTTGTGTGTCTGTGTGTCTGTGTGTCTGTGTGTCTGTGTGTCTGGTGTCTGTGTGTCTGTGTGTGAGTGTGTGAGTGTGTGAGTGTGTGTGTGTGTTTGTGTGTCTGTGTGCCTGCGTGCCTGCGTGCCTGCATGTGTATGTGTGTGTGTGTGTGTGTCTGTGTTTGTGTCTTTGTCAGTGTCTGTGTCTGTGTCTGTGTGTCTGTGTGTGAGTGTGTCTGTGTCTGTGTGTCTGTGTGTGTGAGTGTGTGAGTGTGTGAGTGTGTGAGTGTGTGTGTGTTTGTGTCTGTGTCTTTGTCTGTGTCTGTGTGTCTGTGTGTCTGTGTGTCTGTGTGTTTGTGTGTCTGTGTGTCTGTGTGTCTGTGTGTCTGTGTGTCTGTGTGTGTCTGTGTGTCTGGGTGTCTGTGTGTCTGTGTGTGAGTGTGTGTGTGTGTGTGTGTTTGTGTGTCTGTGTGTCTGTGTGCCTGCGTGCCTGCGTGCCTGCATGTGTATGTGTGTGTGTGTGTGTGTCTGTGTTTGTGTCTTTGTCTGTGTCTGTGTCTGTGTCTGTGTGTCTGTGTGTCTGTGTGTCTGTGTGTGAGTGTGTCTGTGTGTCTGTGTGTGTGTGTGTCTGTGTGTGTGTGTGTGTGTGTGTGTTTTTTTTGTGTGTGTGTGTGTCTTGGTCTGTGTCTTGGTCTATGTCTGCGTGTCTGTGTCAGTTTGTTTGCCACAGTGTGGCACTGTGTGTTTGTGTGTGGCACTGTGTGTTTGTGTGTGGCACTGTGTGTGTCTGTGTTGCTTGTTGCTTGCTTGCTTGCTTGTTGCTTGCTTGCTTGCTTGCTTGCTTGCTTGCTTGCTTGCTTGCTTGCTTGCTTGCTTGCTTGCTTGCTTCCTTGCTTGCTTGCTTGCTTGCTTGCTTGCTTGCTTGCTTGCTTGTTTGCTTGCTTGCTTGCTTGCTTGCTTGCTTGCTTGCTTGCTTGCTTGTTGCTCGTGCGTGCGTGCGTGCGTGTGTGCGTGTGTGCGTGTGTGCGTGAAAGACAACTGGACGTCCCGGAAGCTTTTATTTCTTGTTCTCCTTCTCCAGTTTATTGGCCTTGCAATGTTTCGCCGCCTGACATGGAACACGCTTCCAGGACTACCATCTTCTTGACGGCAACGTGTGCGCAAGGGATTTGACCCCGCTCATCCAGAAGTGGGAGGCGTGGGAAGAAGCAAGTCACCAATTAAAACGTGTGTGTAGCAGCTTGAAGTTGTTTGCTGTTTGTTGGCAGCTTGGCTCGGTTTCGTGCGGGAAGGTTTCAATGATTTGAGGCGAACCTTACTTTTTGAATGCTTTCACGACCTAAGCGGCATCAGGCGCTGGAGTCCGCATCAGATGCCCCGGATTCCTTGCCTGGCACTTACTGTATTGCAAGTGCCGACTGAAGGAGCCTAACCACATCGCAGAAAGCATGTCAAGGTTCAATGATACGTTAATGGTTTACTCGGCATGTTGCATGGTTCGCATGCTGCGTGTGAAACCCGTCCATACTTGTGAGGCTTTAGCGGAACACGGAAACCCAAACAAATTACTGAACATGTTCCTGAAACCCATATTTGTATACATAATATCTGCAAAACTGAGAATGTGTTTCTGACACCCATGAAAAACTTGGGCTCTAAGTTCCTGACACCCGGGCTCCAAGTCGGACAAGAGACGGCCTTTAAGACTTGTCACTCACCAAGGTGCAAGGAGACCTTCGAGGTGATGCTCGCGCTGATTCTGCGCGGGGCGGAGCTTCTCAAAGAGCTCGATCCCCAGAGGGCGGCTCAAAAATAATGTCTTGCAGAAGAGGTGGCGGTGGTCAAAAATCTGGTAACCCCAAAATGGGTTGCCCTGGTAAATGGAAAGGACTCAAACCCGAGGTCAAATCATCGTGTTGTTGTTTTTTTTGGGGGGGCCTGGTTAGTGGAAAACAAAGGGACCCCAAAAAAGTCCAAAAAAACATCAAAAGGGGAGCTAATTCTGGGGAAGCTTAAATGGATTAGGTACCCAAAATGGGTTGCCCTGGTAATTGGAAAGGACTCAAAGCTGCGGTCCAATTCCTGGTGGTTTTATTTTGACCCACACCCAGGTACTGAAGCACTGAACTTTGGTGCATTTTGCCAAGGGGTGTTAGGACTGAATACTTGTTTCCCAACTAATGGGTTTTCCATTAAAACACTAAAAGTTAAGCATTTAGCAGGGGAGCAGAAAGCAACCGAGTGAATGTGGCTCGGGCATTTGTTCTTCCTCTGGGCTTTGCGTGTCGTGGAAGTCATGCAGAGTGGCCGAAGTCCCCTTGCGAGTGTTTGTTCAGATTTCCAGAGGTCTAGTTGAGTATCAACCTGTCAGGAGAATGAAACGTGTTTTTCACCTAGTTTTGCGGAAACCTGCTTGGAAGTCCGGCCGTTCGATAGTTCAGTACTGAAAGTTGGCCTCCTGACTCCCTCTGCCCGTGCACGTGCAAGCATCGCTCGAGCATGTTATGAGCATTGCCCAAATCTTTATGGAGCAGTCCTCCACAAATCTCAAAGATGGGTGCTGTGTGTGTGTGTGGGTGTGGGTGTGGGTGTGGGTGTGGGTGTGGGTGTGGGTGTGGGTGTGTGTGTGTGTTTTCTCTGGATGTGGGTGTGCTTGCATGCTGGCCCAAAGTCCCAAATGGACACCAGTGCAGCAAGAACGCAGAAGCTTGCCGAGAAATTGCCAGTTCTGAGACGCCCATTCAACCCAAGAAGCATGATGTATTGCCATGGACGCTTCTAAATAACAACAGTTGGACATTTGCATTTCGGAACGGCCGTCAAAGAGCTTGCTTCAGGGCCAGTGGGAATATTGCGCATTGCTAGGTTGTCCGTGAATCGTTTGCAACTCTCGGAGCTGAACAAGGCTGGTCTGCTGGGCTTGACAAAAGGAATCATAATCAGATCGGTGCGTGACATTGCTTTGCAGGTGCTGGCTCGGTTGACCACGCTGGCCGCCTAGAGCTTGTTTGCACACAAAAAGTGTGCCGCTGCTCAAACCTGTTCGCGACATTGAAGGTTGGAAAAGAGAGAAGAACTGCACGAAGATGCCAAGTGGGTGGCGACCCACAGAGATCCTGACAGCTGCCCTTCGAGCCGAGCCGGCATGCGTGGAAAATTGTGTTGCCGAGGTGCATTCCTTCATGAAGACATTGTGAGCCGGGGGCATGTGACATGTTAACTCTACCTGGGAATGATTCCACCAAACAGTCAGTCATTCACAAAAGCCAAGCAGATCGGAGCTATGACATGACCATCGGGGTGAAGTCATTCTGTGGGCAATCTATAGCCAAAAGCTTGGGCAAGCCCTGGGGAAGTGTCGGCGCGGAAAGTCGCACAGTGGCACTGGCCAAAGATTAGCCATGAACAAGCCGCTGTCACGTCTGTTTACGCCGCCAGTTTAAAAAGGTGTCAATTGGATGCAGGTGCACTGCAACGTTTGCTCTTTGAGCAGGTCACCGGCGTTTCTGTTCTCATATTGTGGCTTGCCTATTTAGGTTGCTTTGCGTTCACAGTGTTCGCACAACTGCATGTTTTCCCATACCCTCATGGACACTGCTCAGCATGAGCTTCACTGTGCTCACAGCTGGCAAATGCTCTTGGCACCACACCTTGACACATGACGTTGACACTGGGTCCAGCATAAAGCACCAGACAAGATTTGATGCAGCTGCAAACTGACAGCACTTGTGCGCATCCGGAGAAGTTCCGAGTGCGATGGACGCGCGCGTCTCAGTCGCAGTCTCACTCTCAGCTTAGACGACGGCTCTGAACTGACGAGGACCAGCTCAGAGGCTGGTGCTGAGGTGGGCTGGCTGAACTGCTTCACAGTGTGGCATGGAGCACCCGTTGGCACAGCAGCCGTTTCAAACGTCAACATGTGCTTTCTGGGCAGGACTGCGACATGGCAATCCGCCAGCCGGAGCCTTGCGAGGGAGTTTCGGGTGAGGGCGTGCCTGAGGTTTGTCGGGACGAGCATGTCGCTTGACATGATGGCGACAAAGCAATTCCAGTTGGTATGCATATAGGTGGCCATTTGTGGTAGGGGGTTGGCCTTTCTGGCATTGCACGACGAATGCAACGTGGCAGCCACAGTTCAAGTTGCATGCGCCTTTCCTGTGAGAAAGGACTTAGTCACGCCACTGCTGTGTGAGCTTGCAGGCTTTACGCGCAAGGTTTTGCAGGATCAAGCCAGCACTGCTCCCGCTCACGTGCCCCTTTGAGAGGCCACATGAACGGCCGGCCGCCCGAAATCCAATCTTTGCTGGAGTGCGGCTGTGGCAAGCCAACATTGGATGGAGTTGCAATTTTGCTTGCGCCACGCCTGTCTGAGTGGGCGGCAAGCCCGCAGTTTGCCACAAAAATATTGAGTGAAGTGGGCAAGCGAAGGCGTCCAGAGCTTGCAGAGCTGATCTTGACGTGCATGTCAGAGGGAAGGGTTGAAGTCAACGTGTTCCACTTCAGCGCTGTAATCAGTGCAAGTGAGAAAGCCGGAGCGTGGACATCCGCCTTGCACTTCCTCAGGGAAATGACTCACGCAGCTGTGACTCCCAACGAATTCAGCTACAGTGCTGCGATCAGTGCTTTTGAGAAGGGTGGGCAGTGGGAGGGCGCCTTGGGCTTGCTGACGGAAATGCAGCTTGATAGGCGCAAGAGAGTTGACCGAAAATTCGGACGGGGAGCACATCATATCAATGTGCGGCCCCATTAAATGAGGAGTGTCCATGTGCGATTGTAATGCGGAGGCTCTGCCCCAACGAAGTCACCTATGGCGCCAGCATCAGCGCCTGTGCTCGCGGCAGCAACTGGATCTCTGCCTTGGAGTTGCTCTCGGGGCTGCAGGTCGCCTTGCTGCAAGTGAACGTGGTCACTATCAGCGCGGCGCTGACCGCTTGCGAGAAGGCGCACCGACGTGAGGGCGGGGGGGTGCTTCATTGCAAAGCCATGCCAGCCAATGCGCAGCCTATGGGCAACAAGTAAGATTCGTTCCCCAAGAAATAAGGACCACATAAGACGATGCATCCAGAAGACCACGGATTCAGTCCTTGCAACATGAATTGGCGCTGGAGTGGTTGTTTCTGTTGAATGCGGTCTGGTAAACAACCAAGGGGGAGAATGATTGGACAAGCAAAGCTCCTTGGCTTTGGTTTGGCGCGTTCCTTCACTTCGCACGGGAAGGCAAGCCGGTGGCAGCCCGCCATGAGCCTTCTGGAGCTCATGGCCAGGAAAAAGATCAATGCCGATCGCATCAGCTTCAGCTCAGCCATCAGCACGTGTGAGAAGTGTGGAAACTGGGAATTGGCAGTGGGTATGTTTCGGGCTATGCGCTTGGACTTGCATCACCCAGATGCTGTAAGCTGCTTGGACCATGTTGATGTCCTTTGTGTGTGTGTGCGGGTGTGTGTGGGTGTGTTGTGTGTGTGTGGTGTGTGTGTGGTGTGTGTGGTGTGTGTGGTGTGTGTGGTGTGTGTGGTGTGTGTGGTGTGTGTGGTGTGTGTGGAGTGTGTGGTGTGTGTGGTGTGTGTGGTGTGTGTGGTGTGTGTGGTGTGTGTGGTGTGTGTGGTGTGTGTGGTGTGTGTGGTGTGTGTGGTGTGTGTGGTGTGTGTGGTGTGTGTGGTGTGTGTGGTGTGTGTGGTGTGTGTGGTGTGTGTGGTGTGTGTGGTGTGGTGGTGTGTGTGGGTGTGTGTGTGGTGTGTGTGTGTGTGTGTGGTGTGTGTGTGTGTGTGTGTGTGTGTGTGTGTGTGTGTGTGTGTGTGTGTGTGTGTGTGTGTGTGTGTGTGTGTGTGTGTGTGTGTGTGTGTGTGTGTGTGTGTGTGTGTGTGTGTGTGTGTGTGTGTGTGTGTGTGTGTGTGTGTGTGTGTGTGTGTGTGTGTGTGTGTGTGGTGTGTGTGTGTGTTTGGTGTGTGTGTGGTGTGTGGTGTGTGGTGTGTGGTGTGTGGTGTGTGTGGGGTGTGGGGTGTGGGGTGTGGGGTGTGGGGTGTGGTGTGTGGGGTGTGTGTGTGTGTGTGTGGGTGTGGGTGTGGGTGCGTGTGCGTGTGCGTGTGCGTGTGCGTGCGCGTGCGCGTGCGCGTGCGCGTTCGCGTGCGCGTGCGCGTGCGCGTGCGCGCGTGTGCGTGTGCGTGTGCGTGTGCGTGTGCGTGTTCGTGTGCGTGTGTGTGTGCGTGTGCGTGTGCGTGTGCGTGTGCGTGTGCGTGGTGTGTGGTGTGTGGTGTGTGGTGTGTGGGGTGTGGTGTGAGGGGTGTGGGGTGTGGGGTGTGGGGTGTGGGGTGTGGGGTGTGGTGTGTGGTGTGTGTGTGTGTGGTGTGTGTCTGTCTGTGTGTGTGTGTGTCTGTGCGTGCGTGTCTGTGCGTGTGTGTCTGTGCGTGCGTGTCTGTGCGTGCGTGTGCGTGTGCGTGTGCGTGTGCGTGCGCGTGTGCGTGTGCGTGTGCGTGTGCGTGTGCGTGCGTGGGTGTGTGTTCGTGGGTGTGCGTGGGTGTGTGTGTGGGTGTGGGTGTGCGTGTCTGTGCGTGTCTGTGCGTGTCTGTGCGTGTCTGTGGGTGTCTGTGGGTGTCTGTGTGTGTCTGTGGGTGTCTGTGTGTGTCTGTGTGTGTCTGTGTGTGTCTGTGTGTGTCTGTGTGTGTCTGTGTGTGTCGGTGTGTGTCTGTGTGTGTCTGTGTGTGTCTGTGTGTGTCTGTGTGTGTCTGTGTGTGTCTGTGTGTGTCTGTGTGTGTCTGTGTGTGTCTGGTTGTGTCTGTGTGTGTCTGTGTGTGTCTGTGTGTGTCTGTGTGTGTCTGTGTGTGTCTGTGTGTGTCTGTGTGTGTCTGTGTGTGTCTGTGTGTGTCTGTGTGTGTCTGTGTGTCTCTGTGTGTCTCTGTGTGTCTCTGTGTGTCTCTGTGTGTCTCTGTGTGTCTCTGTGAGTCTCTGTGTGTCTCTGTGTGTCTCTGTGTGTCTCTGTGTGTCTCTGTGTGTCTCTGTGTGTCTCTGTGTGTCTCTGTGTGTCTCTGTGTGTCTCTGTGTGTCTCTGTGTGTCTCTGTGTGTCTCTGTGTGTCTCTGTGTGTGTCTGAGTGTGTCTGTGTGTGTCTGTGTGTGTCTGTGTGTGTCTGTGTGTGTCTGTGTGTGTCTGTGTGTGTCTGTGTGTGTCCGTGTGTGTCTGTGTGTGTCTGTGTGT